CGCACAAAACAATAATTGTTCAAATCAACTAGCATTTCCAACATAGAATGTACAACAAGAATCACGCCGAGGTACCACACCTCATATTCACATTTCACAAGTCACAATCACAATCTTCCTTACATCGCCGCGTGATCCTTGTATTTATTTTTAAAAAAATATTTTTTTCGAAATATCTACACACGTTTTAGCCCTCTTATCTCACCGCATGGCTTCAAGTAATTACCTTACTAGCAACACACGTATAAATCTCACCTTATCCCGCTGCATGCGCATCAACCCCTACCCTTATACCGCCGTATGTACATCAATATAACAACATATAAATCAACTCACACTATACGTGCCCATATGCCACAACATTCCCAAAATCAACAATACCAATATTACCACAGCTCACGGCTTAACCACAATGTGAACAAGAATCTCAATAACAAAAAATTGAATGCGAAATAACTCGGCAAGGAAAGGTGTTACACCCCACACCTAAACAAATCTTGGTAAGTGTGGAGTCTAGCACGATCAGTCGGCCAACGACGCTTATGAAGGTAAAGGGGATTACACGTTTCAACAAGCTTGTGCCAGTTGTCCCACTCGGTGTTATAACTAGGGCGGGGCAACCTATTTTACATTTGAACCTGTTGGAGATTCCTATGATTGGTACTTGTATATAAGGGAACTCATTATCTTTCATTTTCGAGGAATACCACTCACCATAATTTACCAAAAACGCTCTCACATCTCCTTTGAAGTTCGAAATAGCCTAAACTGAATCAGAAGGCGATTCTATTAGGATTCAACTTGAAGAAACTTGGAATCGTTGTTGTAACATCTGTCATCTGGTGGTATTGATTCTGAAGATTCATTAGAGGCAAAGTTAATCACCATAGAAGTGTAGCTAGTTCTTCAACAAGGTATATAGGGCAACTTTCTTTCTTGGCATGATTTGGTGTAAGTCTCTCTCTCTCTCCCTCTAAAGGATTTTCGTATTATAAGAATTTGGTTGTTCTGAGCCCCTCTCATTGACATTGTTCTGTTCTTGTACATTCTTGCCTATAGCATTTCTTTCAAAGTCTATAATGTTCTAGTTAGTATCATGTGGTCGGAAAGTATGATCCTTCCCAATTTTAAACTTGTTATCCCTCAAAACTGCTATTGCATTGCACTTATATATGTATCTATCTTACTTTACTAAGCCGTGCTATAGTCGGTCGGGTACGGAACCTATTGTTCAACCACAGATCAATTGGATATGATGAGACATGATATGATATATTATCGAGCCCCTGTGTGGTCGGGTACGATGATGTGTGATGTGAGGCTACCGAGTCCTCTTGAGGCCGGCTAGCCAAGTTCTGTTGAGACCAGGTACAGTCGAGACCTCCTAAGGCCGGGTACAACGGAGTCCTCTACGAATTCGGGTATGGAGTGACGTGTTATGTGATGTACCGAGCTCTCTTGTGGCTAGGTACAACTGAGTCCTCTATGAGGCCGGGTATGGAGTGATGAAATATGCCCCCAAAGAAT